GAGGGAAGCAGGGAGCAAGAGAAAGAAGCGCGCGCCTTCCAGCCCGACATGGTGACAGAAAAGTCAGAGACCCACGTCATGGTCCCATCCGAAGGCACGACCCCGGCCGGGCCCGAGGTGCCGCAGTACTTCACGCCGTTGACGACGAGGTGGTCGTAGCGGCAGTCATAGGGCCACGTTGCCGCCTCCACGTCAAAGGCGATCACGTCCAGCCCGACCGGCGGCAGGCCGTAGAGGGTGCAGCCCTCGTTGACCGGGTAGTCGTTCGGGAAGTCGGGCGAGGTGGCGCACGAGCCGCCGTCGGTGATCAAGCACGGGCCGGTGGTGCAGACGTCGCCGAGCGGGCATGCCGGCAGGGAGGGCGGCAGGGAGGGCGGCGGCGTCTGCGGCGGCGATGGCGTGAACAGCCTCATCTCGGCTCCCTGGTAGTTGGCGAGGCCATGGCCATAGTAGTCGTCGATGCCCGGCTCGCCCAGATCCTCGGCGCCTTGCTCAAGCGCCGTGCGGATGTCGGCGTTGGTATAGGACGGGTACCTGCGTGGCCGCGAGGCGTGCCTGACGCAGCGGTTCGGGGGTGTGGTGTTGGTTGGTGGGGGAGGGGGGGGGCTCACTTGTTCCAGAGCACCATTGCCAGGCCAGAGACGTGCGGCGCGGCCATGGAGGTCCCACTCTTCGAACCGTAGCCCGGGGGGCCGACCCCAGTGTAGCTCGGGGGGCCTAGGTAGGAGACAATGATCGCGTGAGAGCGGTGGGAGAGCGGCGGCGCTGCGGCCTTCTCGCACAGGGGTGGCACCGACAGTCGATTTGATGTCGACGCCTGGCGCAGCGATGTCGATCTCGTCGTTGTACTGCGAAAACCACGCCTTCGCGTTGTTGATGTCGGTGGCGGCGACGCTCATGACCGAGGAGTGGGACGCCGGGTAAAAGTAGCTGCTATCTCCGCCGTTGCCGGCGGCCGCGATGCTGAGGATGCCGTCATCAAAGAATTTCTGGAAGGCATCACGCTCAAAGATGAGCGTGGGCGACGATCTCCCACCTCCGAGCGACACTGCGGAAGGTCGTCGGGGGGGGGGGGGGGGGGGGTTTTAAATTAATCAAAAACGGGTAGCGGATCTAGGCCCCCTCCCTCCAGAGGATTTTGGGTCCCCTGTCGACACATCCCTGAACCCCATCGACCAATGTTGAGGCATAAGTCCCGCCCCACCCCTCATTTTGGTAGGGGGTGCTGGGGTCCTCCAAAAAACCCACCTCCCCAAAAACCTTGACTATTTTTAGGGCAGGGGCGCCCCGATAAAAACCCACCACTCCCTCCCCGTTGCCCCCCACCGCGGGGATGGGGCCCCCCAAATGCCTGCCTGGTGGGACCGAAGGAGGGAAGGTGGGGTAAAAGGGGCCGACCGAAAAATTGCGGGGAAGGGATATTGCGGCCGAAAAGGCCGCCGAAAAGGCATGCCTGCCCTGGTTTCAAAAGTCCTCCCCCAAATACATCCCCCCCTTTGGGTCAACTTGGGACGGGTCCCCCCCGGTGGCGTCCAAAGGGAAGTC